GGAATTGGAAGGATTCCTTCACATCTATTATGTGAACCAAACATGGTATTTAGAATTTGGTCAAAGATTTGGACATTCCAATTCCACCAAATTCCATGAACCAAACACCCCCTTAGAAGTCTCTAAGTTTACTTCAGAAGCCTTTGAGTTTAGGAGCTTCTGATTCTAAAGTGGTTTTGACTTGGGCTTCTGACCCTGAAGAGTCAGAAGCTATGAAGCCTTTTGATCCATATTAACAGTTTATAACTACTATGCAGTTCAACCACCCACTAATTATTCCAACAGTCATTTTCATTTATGGGGATATATTTCGGTATTAATTTAAGAACTGTTAAGATTCTCTAAATTTAAAAGGAAACGATTTCTGTCAAAATCGCTATTGAGATTTGAGATTATCCTCAAGTGGATTTCACAATGCCCGAAAAAATTTAGGATCAAAGTACAACTCAAGGAAAACTAACTTTCACGTGATCTCAAGTTATATCCGAGCTTTAGACTCCCAATTTCTCTGGATTTTCTAGAATTTCCTCCAACGATATGTCGAAGCCTATTCCAGATCCTCATCCAATGATTACTGAACTCTACACAATTAATGTTTGCGAAGATATATAACTCAGTAGTTTTCACATAATCCAACAAAAAACATTATCACAATAATATCTGTTAAATTCCTTTTTTTTTTCTTTCTAATTAATCAATAGTTGAGTTGGGATAAAATGGTAAAAAAAAACAAATGGACAAGGAGAATTTTTGTATTTCAATTTTTTTTTTGATTATTTTTATCGAGTATTTTGATTAAAAATTGGATGAAAATGATATAAGATAATACACATATAAGATTATAAATATGTGACTGATGATTTCTTGAAAAAGAAGACGAGGTCCCAAGCAACAGTGACTGATAATTTGTTGTCTAACATACAACTTAAGAATATGCAAAGAAACAGTAACGTCTTGATCTGTTCTAACTGTTGATTTTATATAAAGAAAAAAAAATCACGAATATTAAATGCATAAAGAAATCATTAAATTCTTAAACGAGTCACACAGAATCCAAAATTTCGCATTAATTTTTCTTAAGATTCGGGAAACTTTATCTGAAAACGTGTACACCATTGAAACAAAATATTTTGCTTTCGGTGTATAGGTGCGTCCCAATAGGCTGTCCAAAAAGTCTGATATATTTGAACTGAAGCTCTTTAAACCATCTAAAATAAATCTGAGTTATTTAAACAACAGAGTTAAAAAGAACCATTTTCTAAAGTATATTGAGTTTTAAGATTGCAAGGAATACATTCTTGGAGGATTAGGAAATTGGGGTCTTTGGAATATAAGGTGGCAAAGAGAACTTGGCTTAGAAAAGAAAAGGAAGAGATGGTTTGGAGTCTTCAATGCATCCAATTCAGAATCAAACACAAAAAAGGTTGATTACACCCTCTCCACTTATTTTCTTTTCAATTTTGTGCTTATCAACCTTAAACCTTACTCTTCTATCAGCAGTTTGTTTGAAAATATCATAATAAGCAGTAATTTGTTAAGAAACAAATACAGTTGTTTATGCATATTTGTGTATACATGCTAAAAGAATCAATCTTGTTTTGAATCTTATCTGTATTGGAAGAAAATGACAGATATATGAGTTGGCATAGGTTAGGGATGTCTTATGTGTTTATGTTTATGTGGATGTGGGGGATGACAGGTGGTATGAAGGCCTTAGCGGGGTCCAGTGCTCAACTGATCTTCGCAAGTAGTTTTTTTTTGGAGTAGAAAGGTGTAGACACTGAATTTTGGGGGTGCTTCGGGACACTAGAGATTACCAGAGACATCAATAAAGAAATAGCAGAAAAGTCAATGAAAATCAACCAAAAAGCTTAAAAGATCCCTCAAAGCAGTGAAATTTGACTAAAAACACATCAGACAACTTTGCTTTGCAGGTCTTTGATCCACCTTAAAGGTGCATTTGCTCGACAAAAATCCTGGGTACGTCGCTGGAGGAGGGAAAATGGCATAGGGTTGATATATGTACGTGTATTCATGTGTAATGTATATGTGCATGAGTGTTTCTACTACGCACACCACAACTTCTAAATAGTTGGGTTTTTTTTTGATTAACCTGGATATCCAACCCGCTATGCGAGCTGACTAATCCGAGGACGACCATCTGCTTTTTCGATAGCCCGGAGTCACCGCATTTGAACCTCCGTGGCTACAAGGGGATTTTTATTCCTCATTAGATTTGAACCTGGGATCTCCAAGTACTTTTGACCTTTGGAGCCAAGCTCAAACCAATCAGGCACCACCCTTGTGGTTTTACTATACTCTCATTTGTTAAATTGAGTTATAATATGTATTTAATGTGATTTATACAGGATGTTAAACTTGTTGATATTAGTCAAACTAATTCTTTAGTCCATCGAATCTAATTTTAATCGGCCATGAGCTTTAAAGTACAGGACTCACTGACATATCTCAACCATTTCTTTCATTCGTTTTTAGATTTTTTTAGTTTTTCGTAACAACCAAAGTTTTGACTCATAATTTAACAAAAGATAGGAAAAGGGGCTAAGTGAGAAACTTCCTGAAAGATTAAGTTCAAGGGGTTAATTGTTCAACGTCAATAGTTGGACATGTTTTACGAGTTCATAAACACGTTCAAATTGAACGTGGATTGAAGAACCGTGACAGTAGTTTGGAGGGCAATGTAATGCCTCATTACGTACACTGTTTCGTCTCCTATTACAGCCAAGTGAAACTCGAAAAAAACATATCAAGATTTCTACTAAAAAGAGAAGGAAACGAAGGTTGTAGAGTTTTGAAAGTTTATTTAGCGATTCAGAGATAAGATTTTATGCCAAACACATTGTTAATGTATTAATTCGTATTCCAAAATTATTTAGAATTGAGCAATATGCTTTGAGTTAATAATGAAGTCTTAAGATCATTAATTGGTTAAGAAATCGTTACGTTAGCTGTTGGGATATAATAAGTGGTTAAATGCTCTAATTAGAGCACGTTAATATGGTTAAAAGCTGTTTTAAGTATGAAAAATATTAGAAATGCTTTGATATAAGAGCATTTTCAACAGATTCTCTATAATCTTTATAAAGTAGAGAACCAAAAGCCAAAAATATGTAAAAATAACTGTATTCAATTCCAACAGATTTTCTATTTTGGAGATTTCAACATTAACTATATTTTAAAATATTTTATAGTTTTCCTCCCCAATACACTTTCTAAAAAGATTATCTATACTATATTATAAAACATTTGACAAAAACTCTTAAAAATCATTTTTTATGCATAAAGTACTGTTTATTGATGCATATTACTTAAAATTCAAGATTACAAGTAGATTGTGCGTAACTACAACTTATTAAAGTTTTATGTTTGAATTCGTGTAATTAACTGCAGATAAACATAATTAAATACATGATAAACATCTCATTTTAATTATAAAAAATCTAAAATATAATTAGGATAATCATTGAGTTCTAACAGAATACTTAGTTATTATTTTTATAAAAAATTATATTATTATACCAAAAATAAATTGTTCCGTTATTATTATCACTTTCTTAAAACCACATGAAATCGTATTTTGACATCGATAGATATAAGAATAAAACGAATTATTAACATCGATATGTATCTCGCTGCATTGAGCGAGTACCTTTCCAGTACAAAATAATAATAATTCAATCTCATGGGTAGAAAAAAAATCATTTATCATTAAATTTAAGAAAATTCACTAAACTTGAAGTTTTATTTTCTTTTCTCTATTTCAATAATCAATATAGAAAATCTGTTTGAGCAAAACAGAGAACAAAATCTATATTTTCTCTATTTTATAGAATCTGCTGAAGATGCTCCAAGTGTTGCAACGGCAAAAAGAACAAAAAAGGGGTAAAAACGAGCTAAGAATGGTTGTTGTATAAGCTTATTACAGATAGGAAGATCTGTTCGATTCCAATGTTGTTTCAGTTATATAATTTTGTTTATGTCTTCTACAACAATTATTTGTCAAAAGTTTTTATTACCATTCCGGTATTAAATATTATGTTTAGACGTCACAACCTTGACAAAAAAGGAGTGTGGCAATTTTTCTATCTTTTTTGTTCATTCTTCGTAGTGACGCTTCTTAATTTTATATTTGGGTACAAAATTGAGTACTGACAATCCTAATCGTTTTTATATGGAACCTGTCTTTTAGGACACTGGTGTGGGGAGCATTTTTTTGCTCACTCAACGGCTAAGGCTAAGCAGGGGAGGGTCAAACACGAACCTGCCTTGTATTTGGGCAAAGTCGTTCTACTACTTTACTAATAAGAAGCTAGAAAGACAAATTATATGTAAGAAATAACAAGGGTTTTTTTTTACCTTTTGTTAATTGATTATTACAAAAGCAAATGTTTTTAACGTAATTGAAAATATTATTCCAAACAAATCCTATGATATGTCGTGAAATACCAACTACCCTAATGAGATTTCTAAATCCATTTTTTGTGGGATTTCATTAAAATATCGGGATTTCAATTAGCGCTTTCTTTTAAACCAAACTCATGATTGAAATGAAATTCAATTCGAAATCCTACAAACAAAACGGACCCTATGACCCGTTTGGTTTGATAGAATGTTTTTTTTTTGTTGAGGGATTTGGATTTTGTGGAAGGATTTTGAAATCTTTAGGGTGCGTTTGGTTTGCGGGAATGTTTTTGAGGGATTTGGATTCCCTTGAGGGATTTGGATTCCATGGGATTTGGATTGGATTGGATTTGAAATCCATTCCTCTGTTTGGTTTGTAGGATTTGGTTTCTAATACTTCGAATAATTTTTTTAACCTAATCTGTGTTCATGAGATTTCAACCTAATCTGTCAAAATTGAAGGATTTAACCTAATATGTGTTCATGTATATTCAACCTAATCTATCAAAATTGAAGGATTTAACCTAATATGTGTTCATAGTTTAGAGAGAAATCCACAAGGGGAAAACGATTTTTACCTGTTGACGAACGAACGAAGACGAAGGAGAATCCAACAGCACGACGGCGACTGTTGACGATGAGCACGAAGACGAAGGGCGACTGTTGACGGTGAGCATGAAGACGAAGGGCGACGGCGACTGTTGATTGTGAGCACGAAGACGAAGGGCGACTGTTGACGGTGAGCATGAAGACGAAGGGCGACGGCGACTGTTGATTGTGAGCACGAAGACGAAGGGCGACTGTTGACGGTGAGCATGAAGACGAAGGGCGACGGCGACTGTTGATTGTGAGCACGAAGACGAAGGGCGACGGCGATGAGACGAAGGCCGTGAGCACGAAGACGAAGACGGAGGAGACGGCGGTGAGAAGGAGAAGACGATGAGAAGGAGGAAGCGATGAGAGGGAGGAAGCGATGAGAAGGAGGAAGCGATGAAATCCACGGGAATGGATTTCAAATCCCGTGTAAGGGTGAAGGATTCTCAAATCCAGTGTTGGTGGGATTTCAAATGAATCCCGGGATTTGAAATCCGACCATTTTTACAAACCAAACATAGGATTGGAATGGATTTCAAATCCAAATCCCTCCAAATCCCTCCAAATCCCTCAAACCAAACGCGCCCTTAGTGTCTTTGGTTTGGGGGTATGTTGGAATTGAATTCCATTATTTATTAATATTTTATAAAAAAAGAATTACAAAAATAATAATTTTTTTAATTGATTATTATAAGAAATGTTTATAATATATTTTAAAACATTATTACAAACAAATCATACGAAATCCCATGAAAATATCAACTACCCCATGAGATTTCTAAATTCTATGTTTGTGGGTTTTCAATAAAATCTCGGGATTTCATATCCAAACATTCCTTCAAACCAAACATAGGATTAGAATGAAATTCAACTGCAAATCCTATCAAATCCTACAAACCCGACGGAACCTTAATAGTGACTTCTGATTCAAGGCTTTTAGAAGACTAGAAATTATATGAAAATATATGGGGTGTCCTAATTAGCACAATATGATAGCTTGCTAGACAAGACACTCATCAAGGGATTTGGGCCTTGTGAGAAATTACAGTTAGAACACAGATAAAGAGTTTGAGATTGCATAAGAGATTGTTTTACTTAACTAATATTTCGACCATAATCTATCTGGATTGCACAAAATCTACTCGAGGAAAATCTCAATTTACACGCCTACAAGTTTGGCATAAATCACAATCTCTAAACCTAGATAAATTGTAATGGTTTGTATGTTAAAACCGAGAACGAATGTCCAATTAAAAAGAAATGATTACTAGAATTTATTAGCAGTTATTGGACGCCTACGAGTTACTACCATCAGTAGCTGAACCCGTAAATGGAAACTCTCATCGCCATCTGCTATAACACTATCAATGTTTACATTCATTAACATCAGCTATAGAATATTCATCAGTCCATGGAAACACTGATGAATAACCACTAAAAAAACGAAATAGTAAAATCGTTAGTGTCATCCGTCTCAAACTTCATCTAGGTATACACTCATTAGCATCCCTTGGATCTCACCAAAGGCGTTGCCCCTAGGATCCCGCAGGTGGCATGACCCCCTTGACCCTCGTAATACAGAGACATCTAGAGATAATGAGTTTTAGCTACGTTATATGCGTATGTATTCTATACCTCCAAACACGTCTTCTAGCTTAGCTAACATCTCCTTCATTTTCTTCTCGTGAGGGAATTGAACTTAGAACGTTTACATCATCTTAATAAAATTCTAACCACTTGAACAAAAATAACTAAACATAGTCCACATGTGTACATATTAATTAATGATCTTTGATTCAATTTGTATTGAATGTATCTTTTAAACCAACAGTTACAAGTCCGACCGTTGATAACAGAAAGGGCGTGACGTTTTTGTAGAAATTGCTAAATTAGAGATAGTAGGCCAACCGTTTTACAAAATAACTATGCTGAATATGTTTTTTTTCATTGATGATTCAAAGACAAGGACGAACCCAGGAATTTTTGGATACGGTGGCACCATATAAAATGGTTGTACCTTCTAGAATAAAACGGTTGCACCTTTCACGAACCTATTTTTTTTTACGTTACCACGGAGGAACAATTCGGTGGCACGTGCCACCTAACCACCCCTCTAGGTCTGTCTATGTTCAAAGTCTACCTCTTTGACAACTAACTAGCCTTTGTACTATTTTATTTACTAATAGGGCGTGTTTGGTACCACGATAGAACATAATAGAACTGTAAAGTGAAGGTTTGAAGAGGAAAAATACAATAAATAAAATTTAAGTAATAGATATTATATAAAGATGAAGGCGTGTTTGATGTTTTAGAAGAAAATTATATTTATTTTGAGGGTATATTGGTAAAATCTAAGCTTGTTCCACCTTGTTTCATGGGGTGGAGATGTAACACGTCCGTTCCACTTTGTTCCACATAAAAGTCATGCCAAATATAGAACAATCTATATTTTGTTTTGTCCTGTCCAATTTACCAAACGCACCCTAAAAGAACCATAAGAAAATATAACCATTCTCCATCTGCCTAATAGAACAAATGAGAAGTTAACTCGTTTTATTAGTCAGATGAATTATTGTTTTATTTTGTTGTTTTTTGAAAAAAATTTATTTTGTCATCTTAAAAAATAATAGTTAGTTTCGTGTTTCGTCGTTGAAACATAAATTACTTTTTTCTCAATTTGTCTTCTTTTCCAAAAGACAGTTATAATCCAAGACCAGTTAAACCAAACACTTCTTGAAATTAACCAAAGTCTGGTTAGATAAAAATCGGTTACTCGATCATAATGAGAATCAATTACATGATGTTTTGGACCAAAGGGTTATTTGTTGCGTCTATCATTTGAATAACTACAAAACCGGTTCTATAGAAGTGCCTTGGTCCAAAGAATTAGTTTCGTAAGGTTATAAGCTGAAGACTATGTTCTCAATCTTTCATACGTGTATATCCTCTCTTTCTTTAATGTTTTAAAGCTCGCTTGCACGCATTGTTTGTCTTGGATGATTAATATTGACGAAAACAACAAGTTCATCAATTGTGTGAATCAATACGTTAGGATTATAATGAACTATGTGTTTGAGTCTCATATCAGCTAGGTTTGGATCATTTCTACTCAATATATGTTGGAATCTCTCTTCTCTTTTTAAGGGCTCATTTCGAGAGTAATCTAATAGGGTTTTTTATGTTATGACATTGTATCAGAGCTAAGGTCTACCACTCTGAGACAATTTGTGCTCGTCTAGCCTCTGTCGGAGGGGATATCCTCAAGTCCCACATCAGCTAGACGTATATGTTGGAACCTCTCATCTTCTTTAAGGTCTTTTTTAGAGAGTAACCTAATACAGTTTCACATATTATGACACCATGTTTAACCATGAGGATAGCGCTAACCTTGTTCTTTAAGGATAAAGTTGTCTTACAATATTAATATCCTTGTGAGAAATGCCAAATTGTGACTACCAAAAGTTGGTAGTTTCAAAATTACGACTACACGGGGTTAAAATTAATGCAATCTGACCACTCGAGACACATGTAGACCTAACACTCAATAGTTTCGTGGATTGAAGATGAAGTGCATAACAAGATTCGGGGATGGTTTAACCCCTTCAACAACCAGAGTACAACATACAAACCACTCTACAATCAAAATATAAACAAGTAGATCATATGACATTGGACATTTGAACGAAGTACTTGTTGTGGACACAAACAAACACCAACATAAGGTAGGGACCGATTAGTTAGAGGAGAGGTCGGACATGTGAAAGAGTTAATCGTACCACATATAATATGAGACATACGATAAATAAAATCGTAAGTGGACAGGAAGTAATTCAAGAGAAGGTAAATGATAATATTCTAATTATAAGAAATTTAATGAATTGTACAGTATGAAATAATAGTTATGAAGTTTTTACTTACTAGAATAATAACAGAAATAATCGTATTTTGGACCAATACTAACATGCACGTAAGGAGCTGGACATATTTACAGAATGAATGAAATGTCCGGAATTAAACTCCAGCTTCACTGATGTACATCCAAGACACACGGTTTTACCTCTCCTCTAACGAATGTGAGACCTATACGGTCGGTGGGGTGCTCTAAAGGGTTGCATGATACCCGTTTTGCATAATGTATGCATATTTTCTTTCTTTATCTACGTTTTCTAAAAAACATCAACGAGGAGAAGTAATAGCTGTAACTGACACGTATCTTTTATCCCCTTACCGATTTGCATTACCAAGAGTCAGTATAATACATTCCTACATGATATCAAACACAATCAACCAACACAATAGTAATTAGAGACCTTTTACAGTCTTTATTGCTCGTAAAACTAGATCTAACTTTACGATAATGTGAACCCGTTATTAGACACACATGTACATTTGAACACATCAAAAGCGACCCACGAAGAATGCAAGTCATCTTGATTCTTTTCTTTATATGCTAAGAAGGTCAACTAATGAAAATATAATAAGAGCCCTTCTTTTTCAAAATTTCCCTTTTTCAGAATAACAAAAAGCACATTTGATGCATGAAACCACAAATTTGAAGCAATATTCTTTTCTTTTCTAGTGGATTATGTGAATTCTTGTATTGAACACAATGCTTGGTTCATCAATTAATGGAAATAGCAATCATCACATCTTTTTGTTGGTCCTTTTTATTATTATATTCAACCAAAAAGAATATTTAATATGTGATAAGTATGTATAACTTTCATTTTTTGGACTTATCAATGAGATAACTATGTTCATATATTAAAAGAATGTTTGAAAGATATGAATCTTTGCTAGAATTCTGAGTTTCTAATAACGATTTTAGTGGTACTTGGTCGTATGGTATAGTGGTTTTGTGGGCGTACCATGCATTTGCTTAAAACAGAATCATGCTTCACGAATAATGTGGATTGTGAACGTGTTTCTAAATGTTCTTTTTTGTCGTTAAGGTCCACTATTGACTTGGACAAGTCGTTTGTTTTTCCTGTGTGATACCTTAAGTCGTAGTTTTGGCCAATTCTTTTGGTTTAGCGTGTAGTTTACTAAAAGATGTGTTTCAAATCGTTACTATAAGCGAGAAGGAAACTCTATCCATGATTAAACATTCCATGGAATAGCGTTTGTCATTCTTTGTTAACGATAGCACCTCATACAAAGTAAAGAATGAAGTTGGATAGATTTTAATTGGGATCACCGTTGATTGTTAGGGAGCAATTTATG